AAGGCTGTTAAAGTGAGAAACTGAAATTGACCATTTTCACCCATCCCTACCTGCCAACCAGCCACTCATTAATTAAAAGGCCCCATCTTGGATCTCAAGCCAGCAGCCGAACTCTGGCTCTTTACCTCCTAAGCCATTAGCACTCAGCTGCCTCATAAGGTCAGGCAGACTGGAGCTTATAGATCAAGGGCTGCCATTCCAGCCTAAAAGGAGTCAGCTGATTCTCCCTTACCCTCAGTTGTCATGCTTTCAGCTGACTCCACAAGGCAATTGGCACACAACAGGTCCTATAAAAGCCTTGAGGCTAGGCCAGCTCATTAGGTTAGTCTGGTCAATTTCTTGCCTGGTTTCCATCAGCCTGACTTGGGTCATTTTAGCTTTAGTGCTTATGACAGAGCCAGACTTTCCCACAGCTGCTGCATGTCCCAGCACTGGGCCAGACCTCACAACCAGTGGGGCTCCATTTGCACCCAGAGTAAACTTTTAGTCACTACCCAAAAGGTTGCTCAACCAACACACACAGAAAGTGTGCCTGCATAAGCACTGGTATCATTTCTGTAGCTGTGAACCATCTACAGATTTACCACCAATATATCCAACAGCTCAAATGCTGGCTACAATAGCGTGCTAGTCATTGAGATCCTTGACAGAACACCCACAACCACAGCATTGTGGCAATGATCATTCAAACAAAGCTCAACTGGATAAATCAATATGGTTAGCATGAGAGGGAAAAGCAAGACTTCTGGAGAAATATTTTCAACGAACAGCTGAAGTTCTGGGGAAATCCTGAACCGATGGTTGGTGCTCTGCCAGAGTGCATTTACGTCAACAGCTGTCCTGGGCTGCATCTGTGAAGCTTCAGATATGTTCACACAATCAAATAATAGTTGTAGAGAGTAGCCAGTAATCTTTGTTTGTTATTTTTATAGCCCTGGATGAGCTGAGAGATTTTCTCCTTACCCGACTCATTAGTTTACATGAGCAGGGATGGCCGAGGAGGTCCAATTTCTTATCCTGTAGTATCAAGCGGGATATCTTCAAAGGGGAAATAGATGCATTTGTGGAGGATACAGCTACCCATGGTCAAGATGGCTGTGTACTACCTCCAGTATCAGGGTTGGTGTGCCTCTGAATACCATTGCGAGGAACACAAGTGGGAACGGTGCTGTCGTACTTCCGTCCCATCCATGAGCTTCCCATAGCCATCTGGTTCACCATTGTGGGAACAGAATGCTGGATTGGATAGGCTTTTGGGACTCTTCCTATGTAAGCAAAAATAGCTGTCTATATGGGCACTGTATATATTAGCAGTTAATAAATGACATCAATTCCTATTGTGTTTTTGTGAATTCTGTGATTGAGTGTAGGGTTCTCTTAACCTTTCTAGACCCGTGAACACTTGCAGTTTTCGTCTTGAGGTGGGGAAGCCATTGTTTCAGGTGGGGATCCAAATAAATGAACAGAAAACCACTGATCTCCTCAGAACCAGGAGAAATTTCTTGTCTAGTTAAATATGAGCTAACTACATATGCTGTAAACTGTACAAATGACTCAAATGCCACAGCAAGGAATGAGGGCTGATTTAGGGGTTCCTGCCATTGAGGCATGCAGTCAATGGACTAAGGGGACTAGGCTAGGTAAATTAGAATATTAAAGTATTAAAGCCTGGCGCTTTCTTCCCAAAGCCCAGGAAGCTTCTTTCCAGCTTAGGGAGGGAGGCGCAATGCTCATATCCATGATATCAGGACGTCATGATATCACACATGCAATTGCCCTCATAAGCTGGCGTCTCTAGCCCTACGAAAAATTTCACCATCACTGATTGGGGTCTTGGTTTCCCTCCAGTCCATTTGGTGCACTCTGTCCTGTTGCCTTGGCAGGCTGTAGGGTGGAACTTTCCATCATCAATAGATAAGCATCTTCGTATTCCTCGACTACATAAACTAATTTGAGGTTCTTTTTTGCTGCTGTTGATTAGGAACAACCCTGAAACTCTTCATAATTCCTTACTTGGCAGCCTGGCAGCATGTAAACAACCCTTAAGGGGAATGTCACTGAATTGGTTTATTTTACTGATACTATCACCTAAACTTTATGTCGTAAACGATGTTTATGGCTGTCCAGGCAGCCATAATCCGTTACAAATTTCTGCAGAAAAACCTGGTTAGCTTAAAAGGAAGTCTATTTGCGTGTTTGGTGATGCAAACTCTCTGGATAAGAAACACACATTTAATTCCATTCCCTTTTCTTCTTTTGTTTTTGTTTGAAGGGGGCTTGTTATAAATGTGTTTTGATTTTAATTCTTTTTTTTGTATTTGGATATCATAAAGGCATTTGGTCAAAACAGCTGAACTTATGGTTCATATTAATTTCAAAATTTCAAGCTCTCTTTCAGCACTATGTGTTTTGGAAACGATTGTAAAAACAAGACTATGATTCTGCTGTGAAATAGTTTGGGGTATTGTTGCTATGTTATACCCACCAAGTGTTGTTGGATAAACAGGGAATAAAAGTGAGCTTTCAGTTTTATTCCATTTTTTAAAAAAATGAACTGAGCAATATAAAGGTTAATAGTCCTTGCATCCGTTTGGGTGTCAGCAAAATAGGTCTTCCAGTTGCGTTTCAGTTTTGATGAAGCCTAAACTGTACCCAATATCTCATCATTCAGTGGCACCACTCAATGGCTTTCTGTTGAATATGTAAATAACCTCCTCCACTGTCTCTGAGTTGATATGAAAACTCTAAACTTGATCTATGACGGACTGTTTTGGACGCATAAGGCATCACTTAGAAGTAATGCCATCAAGTAATGATCATGCATATATGAATGTGCTCTCTCTCCCTAGGGTCCATGTCACATTTTTATTTTAATGGGTTTAAAGTAGGGTTGAAGAACCAGATGTTGTTGGACAGCAACATGCATCATCCCTGACCGTTGTCTATGCTGGCTACAACTGGACAGCAACTGCAAGGAATACTTGACACAGAAGAGTGAAAACCTCTTTGGATAATACTCTTAGCACTTACATGCCATTTTAGAGTGCCTCAAATGCTCCACAGACATCTCTCCAGTACTGGTGTCTGCAGCCAAAGCAGGAACCGTAACTCTCCAACAGTTTGACTTTACCTGTGATGGTGTGCTCTTCCACTGTCTCTTGAGACAGACGGATGCCAAACACTTCCACTGTGCAACCACATAAGCTTTCATCATTTCTCCATTCACATTATGTTGAATCTCATTATACATTAGCAGAACTTAATTCTCAGTGAAATCAATGGGACCTGAATGATGACTAACTTGTTCCATTGCATCAGAGCCAACTCCTAGAGGCCAAGGTCCTTTGGCCCTCTCATTAAAATATTTGAGGGAGCTGCCTCTCCCAAGTTGACGGGCATTGCCATTCAAATGGGGTATGTGCGCACACAACTTGTGATTGATTATGTGAAGCGAGGCTTACCTGACCCCCTCTCCCAATACTTTATGCAGGTTGGAACCCCTGTTCCATTGATTTCAAGAGGACCTAAGTTCAGCTAACGTTAGTCTGGAGCCAACCAAATGAGTTTAACCAAGATCCAAAGACTTGTGTGCAATAAGGATTTTCTGTCCTCATTTCCTTGACATTTGCTCTTAGAGAGGCCAGGAAACCCTCCAGAGCAGCATTCAAAGTTGCACAAAGCAATGCAGGCAGCAGAGGGTGGAAGCAAGGTTTTGATGCATGCAAGTGAATATCTTGAACCTGGCCTTAGTGTTTAACATGCCATAAATGACTTTCCTGATTTTCCTGTAAAATAAGTTAATATTATTATCCCCCTGGACCAAGCAGATAACTTTCTTGCAAAACATACAAAGGATAAAATTATCATTCCATCTCCACCCACCTCCAGGTTTGCTCATTCACTCACTTGTTTTGGATCTGGGGCATTGCCATCTATGCATGGCTCTTTAAATACATTGGGAGGAATTCAACATCTCACTCGCAGGGTCATTCTATCAGTACTTCTGCTAGCCTCTCCTTTCCCCTGCACACTGTTCTGTGGATTTGCCCCATCCTCCAGAGTGAATTTGGGGAAGAGGGAGGAGAAGGGGGAAATGCCCATTGCATTGGTGAGAGTCTTTGCGCTGGCTTCTGCAACCATGCTGGGATACCTAAATCCAGCCCAGGAGGTGGCCCTTGGTGCTCTGGGTAGACCCACTGAAACTAACAGACATGACTAACTTGGGTTCATTAATATCATTGAATGTACTGTGAGTGGGACTTAGCTAAATACAACCCATAAACCAGGCATCCCTGGTGCTTTAGCTGCATTGAGTGTCCATAGTCCCAGGGGTGGTGGTGGTGTTCTTCTACCTTATGCCACATGAAATGAAAGCTGTAATGATATCGTTAAAAGATGGAAGCTCGCTGGCTCCCTGCATAAAATCTCCATATCTCTGTTTCTGTACATTTACTTCAAGTAGGCAGTGAATGTGATCTTAGTGATCCTTTGCTATAATGAAGTGTTTTCTTTCCTCTTGAACACCTGGCTATAGCAGTGTCCCATCAACAGCTTTGCCTCATCACTTGTTACCCAGCAGGGGTGAAATTAACCTAACACGTTAACATGTTTGTTTTTACTTAATTCTGCACTTCAGAAACAGCTGGCACATTGGTGGCCACCCCAATCCCAGCACTGTCTATTGCTCAGCATTCGTGTAATTGTGGAGCTTTAATAGCCCCATTATCTCTTCTGCTAAAAGGGTCACAGCAACTCAAGGCAAGGATTCCGTGAAGCAAACGCAGGTTGCCGGTTTAATGAGATGGAAACTGCAACCTGTAGCTTCCATTTCCCCCCATCTTTAAGACTTGTTGACTAGGCACACAGTTGACTTAATGTGCTCAGCCAGCAAAATAAAAATGGTCTAGGACTATGCTGGGAAGGTGGAGCTGTGCCCAAATCTTACGCAACTGGAACTAGCCAAGGGTTATAAATATCGAAAGGAAACAAGGTGGAAGTCACTTATTTCCTTTAGTCCCTGAGCCATCTTCGACCCTACCACTGACTCATCTTGGTTAGGTAAGTCTGTGGTCTCCACCATTTCTTTTTTGTCGTGATGCAGCAAGTTGAGTTTAAACTGGGGAGTTCAGAACCCTTCTTGGGTGTTGCACTCATGGGGGACGGTCATAAGTAGGTCTTGAAGGTTGACTTCAGAAATTGCAATGAAGCGACCTCAAGTGATGCCCAGCCATGCTTCTTTTGTAACATCTGAAACTGCAGCCAGAACATCCTGTTGCTGGGCAAATGGAAGACTTCAAAGCATTTTGCACCCTTAACAAGTTGCTCCCAAAGTCATGTGTAGAGACATATAAATTCTGTTTTCAAAATTTCTGAATTGCTATTGACTGTCAACCAACATCGTTTGATGGTGCCCACATTCAGGGGAAATTTCGCATGCTGTGTTTTGCAAATTTCCGCTTTGTGCCACATGCGCATATAGCAGTGGGCAGTTACATTTGATTTCAAAAGATGAAAGTTCCCCAAAGGGAAGAGAGGGGTTAAAAAGGAGTAGTTGAAAGGTGAAATCAATAAGGTGAAATCACTCCAAAATGCTTGGGTGTTGTTTAGAAACTCAACTGGAGTGTACACAACAGATCAGGAAAGGTACCATGAGAATGGTGAAGTGCGCCAATAGGATCTCTCCAAGCTAACTTGAATGGGCCAGAAAAATAGCAAATGCAATTCAGTGTAAACCAGTATGAACTGATGTGTGTTGAGATAAAAAAAAAAAAAGGTGTGTGTGTGCATAGTCCTGATCCAGAAGGCTCTTCTTATGTTCTCTTAGGGGCTATGCCAGTCTGGAGACGTGAACTTTGTCAAGTGTGCCCTGTCACATGTTTGGGTATACATGTAAAATGTATTTAAGTGTACAAAAATATATATTATATGGCCTCAATATTTTAGGTAAAATCAGAGTCCTATTGCCATTAGTATTTTACCACTTCAGCAAAAACTTTCTGTAAAGAGTAGGAGAATAGTGAAGGTCAACTTCATTAAAAAAAAAAAGATTTAGAGTAATTTTAAGTTTTAATTATTTTATTTAGCAAAAGTTTGCCACTCAGTAAAAAATTAGTTTATACAGTCATACCTCAGAAGTCAAATGGAATGTGTTCCAGAAGTCTGTTTGACTTCTAAAACATTCAGAAACCAAGGCGCGGCTTCCGATTGGCTGCAGGAAGCTCCTGCAGCCAATTGGAACCCGCAGAACCCGTGTTGGACGTTCGGGTTCCAAAGAACGTTCACAAACTGGAACACTCACTCCTGATTTTGCGGCATTCAGGAGCCAAAGCATTCGCCTTGCGGACTTTAAAAACAGTAGACATAATAAAATTACCATGGATAAATTCAACCATTTTGCTTTCTTAAAACACACACACAACCAAATATAATTACATGCCTGGGTAGGCTTACCTAAACAAGATTTTTAGCAGGCATTGAAAACAGTAAATTGAAGACATCTGTCTAATATTAATGGGCAAGGACTTCCAGAATAGGTGCTGCCACACTAAAACAGTGTTTCCCAACCTTTTTTGGGCAAAGGCACACTTGTTTCATGAAAAAAATCTCGAGGCACACCACCATTACAGCCCCGTGACGTCAGCGCGCAGCGTCACGCCGGGAGGGACATGAATTGCTAGCAAATTACATAATCACCTCCTTGAGGGCTGGCTCATCTTCTCCGAAGGCAGAACCCCATTAATTAACAGCACAGACTCACACCATAGCCAAGACGAGGGGGAAAAACCTCAGTCATGCACAGTCATGCACATGTGGGGGCTAAATGAGGACGAAGACCGGGCAGAGTGCAGGGTTCAAATCACCCCACCTGGCCAGGACAATCCCTGGGTGCTCCCTTGGGCCACTCGCCTGACCCACCTCGCAGGGCTGTTGTTGCGAGGATAACACGGGGAGAACCACGCGCGCCCCCGGGAGCTCCTTGGAGGAGAAAGCGGGCGATGAATGCAATGCACGAAATATATGAGAGGCGACCAGGTTTTGCAGGTGAGGGGCCCCCGCCAGCCTCCGCTTCCAACACCCGGCGCAACGTCGCCGAAGTTTCCCCCCAGGCTCGGCTCGGGGAGCAGCGCTGCTCCCCCCGGCTCCCCTTCGCCCTCCCGGCTCTCTCTGCCGCCCACTGGGGACCCCCCTCACCTGCCAAGTCCGGAGCGCCGGTGGAAGTTGCATGCATGCATGCAGGGCGCCGCGTTGCCATTGCATTGCACTGCACTCCATGCAACGCCTGCACGCATGCATTGCCTTGCACGCCCGCCAAGGGGTCTCCCCGCGGTCCGATGCGTCCCCTCCGGCGCGGATGCAGCATTGCAAAAATAACCCCCCCCCCGACGCAGCCCTACCTGGGGGGCAGCCTCCGCCTCCGCCGCTCTGCCTCCGCGGGGATCCCCGGCCTCCATCCTGCCGCCCGATCTCCGCGGGGGCGCAGGCAGGCTGCGTGGGGTCTGCGCGGAAGAGCCCCTGCCCGCCCGGCCGCGCCGCCGCGCTCATTCCATGGCCGGGAGAAGAGCGCTTCAAACAAAACGCCCGGCCCGCCAGGCCACGCTGGGAAACGTAGTTCGCGCACCCCGCACGGGTGCCGAGCCCAAGGGCGAGGGGACTACGGATCCCGGCAGCCCCCGCGCCGGGGACGGAGGGGGAGAGGCCGGGTGCAGGGATGGAGGGACGGGTGGGCGAGCGAGTGAGTGAGTGGCAGCCGCCAAGCCTTGGCCGAGAGCCAGGAAGGGCCTCCCCGGAGGAGGAGGAGGAGGAGGAGGGAGGCGCAGAGCGGGAGGGAGGGAGGGCACCCCAGGGGTCATCTAGTGACGGCGCCCCAATCGAAAATTTGACTTTTTTAAAAAAAATCTTTCAATTTTTTAATTTTTCCCGCGGCACACCAGGCAACATCTCGCGGCACACTAGTGTGCCGCGGAACAGTGGTTGGGAAACACTGCACTAAAAGATCAGTTTATCTTTTAGTGTGGAACCAGCATTATGTAGCACTTTTTAAATTGCCAGTTTCACAGATTAAAGCAGTGAAATGGGTACAAATTGAAGAATGGATTTTCAAGCTTCAGAATTTTATGATATATACTACTAACATTTGTATTACTATATAGAGTTTGTTTGCCATTTGTAACGTCTACATTTGCCATCATTCTGAAGCTCCTTTTTAATCTACTAGCAATTTATTTCTCTCCTCTCTATTCCCACCCCTCTCTCTTTCCAAGGTCTCCTGTTCATCAGCATGACTCTCTGGATCAGATCTCTGCCTCTCCTAGCGCTGCTTGCTGTTTCAGCTCCTACTACTAGTTATGCTGTTCCCAATCAGCACCTATGTGGCTCCCATCTAGTGGAAGCACTCTACCTTGTATGTGGAGAGCGGGGTTTCTACTATTCCCCCAAAACACGGCGGAATGTTGAACAGCCCCTAGGTAACTTTTCCAACTTCCTAAAAAGCATCAAAGTGTTTTATACCATAGTTTCTTCATGAATGTCTCATCCACGCTTCCACTTGTCCTGTGCCTAGAAAGCATGGATCCAAGTAGTTTTCCCTTTGCTCCACTCCTTTCCCCAGGGAAAACCTGATCTTTAGTGCTCAATCGGAACAAACATCAAACCTGAATTGTCGTTTGCTTCGACTGAGAGCGGTTTCCCCCGGGGGAAAGCAGTGGGACAACAGGAAATGTGGCTAAACACTAAGTCATAACTCTAGATGCTGAGAGTCTTGTGTTGGGGGCTGGGCAGCATACACCAATATTTATATCATGGTTGACATTCCCAGGCAAGTGGTTCCAACATAATGGTGAACCCATCACCACTTTAAAGAATTAATGTAAGGGGAACAAGGTTTGAAAAGAGCCCTTCAGGTCTTCCCTTGGTGCCCATGAAGTCTCCAAGCCTACTGCTCCCTCACTGCTCTCTTGGTCATGAGGTGGTGAGTGCGGTAACCTTATCCTCTCATGTAAAGTACATAGAGATGAAGGAGGAAGTTGGAAGAGCTAGCACTCTTTCCCACTTCCTTTTTCAGCTCTGTATGTTTTCTAAGGTCAGATTAATTCTCCTGGATCTCACGTTTACTCAGATCCTTTGGAAAAGTAAAGTGTTGTGTGTTTCTTTGTGTTGTTGGTGAGGGCTGGTCCAGGGGAAGAGAAGTGAAAAGAACTCACAGTATGCCCTGTATTCCAGGAATCTGCTCTCTCTGAAAGTTCAATGTTCGATTTAAAAGCTCTACCGTTTACAATTAGAAATGTAAGGGAAATGTGAAGTCTGTGTTCTGATCAATTGATCAATCAGGAACCGGTTGCATATTTGGCTTCTCAACTCTAAATAAGTAATTGGTTTCAATTGTTTGTGATATGTACACTGGCCTCAATATTCATAGAACTTGTTTTTTCCACAGTTCTGTCTCTGAAGCCACACTTAATTTTGGTTGCATAGTTAACTCTTTTCTGTGTTTGAAAAAGATTTTCAATTTGCTTTTCTTTAGCCTTCAACCCTCATCCTCACATGTTAAATGTTCTCCTAGTTCTTCTTGTTACTTTTAGCCATGTTAATTTTTATAGCATGCAAATGGAGACTGTCCAGAATTGTTTCCATAAAATGGCTATCCATATAGCAAATGTATTACAGTGGTACCTTGAGTTACATACGCTTCAGGTTACATACACTTCAGGTTACAGACTCCGCTAACCCAGAAATAATACCTCGGGTTAAGAACTTTGCTTCAGGATGAGAGCAGAAATCGTGCTCCAGCGGGGGCAGCAGCAGGAGGCCCCATTAGCTAAAGTGGTGCTTCAGGTTAAGAACAGTTTCAGGTTAAGTACGGACCTCCAGAATGAATTAAGTACGTAACCAGAGATACCACTGTATTAGAAAGCCCTGTTCCATGCAAAAAGAGTGTTCTGCACCCTTACCAATGGAATGCTGGATGTGACCAAGCCAAAATATGTGGCAAAGAGCTTTTGGATGCAATGATTGCTGCATCTATCACTTACCCCTGAAGCATTTTTATTTTACTCGCCTCCACATGGGGACAACGACCTTTCAATCAATACTTTGATTCTTTTTATTGCATAGTACAGTAGATACAGTCTGTCTTGTATTATATATTATGTATCAAGTGTTTTTCCCCCTACTCCCATTAACTGAGGAAGCAAGGCTGTTATATATTGAAATAAGGCAGGTGTGGAGAGCCTTTGGCCCACCAGAAGTTTCTGAACCACAACTCCCATTATCCTTGGCCATTGACCATGCTTGCTTGGGCTTCTGGGAGTTGCAGTTCAGCAACATCTGGAGGGGCAAAGGTTCCCCACCCTTGAAGTAGAGGGAGACACAATGGCAGCTCATGGAGAAAGACCTGCTATAGCACACATTGGGGGGCTCTTCTGAGGGATATGTCTGCCCAGATGTTGAAAGGTGGTCAGAGTGGAATGCATCCCATCAGTTTCTCACTGCTTCTTCTATGTGGGAATTTGCTGATGGTTCACTTCGTTAAAAAGACTCACAATGTGGAGAATAACATTCCGACCGTGATATGGAATATGCTACTTGTTTTTAGTTAACTGGCTCAAACTACTGCAGCAGTCCAGGACAGCCATTGCAGAGATGAGTTAGACATGAATATGAAGCCAGAAGTGTTCCGAAAGTATATACTGCAGTGGATCACATGGCAGAATGGGAAACCCCCCTTTCTATCTTAACCTCGGTTGTCTCTTCAAGCTGAGTGATTGGTTAAATGAAACGAAACACTTCTGGGTGCACATGTTCGCCCCACTTTACAAGAAAGCTGTTTTAATGGCTGAAGCAAGATAGGAATGCAAACTTTCTGGCGGGCATATGCACACGTAGAGTACATTTCAGAGATGCATCAACCTGAGTATTCTCTCCATCCAACAGTGAATGGGCCTTTACAGAATGAAGTGGAAACACTGCCATTCCAACCACAGGACTTTGAGAAGGTGAAGAGAGGAATTGTGCAGCAATGTTGTCAAAACTCCTGCTCCCTCTATGATCTAGAGAGCTACTGCAACTAACAGAGGAAGACCTGGCTGTGCATGGGGGGCGGGCGGTGGGGGGGGGGAGAAAAGCACTTTGCTATTGCACCTTTGAAGTAACTGAATAAAAACCCCGTGAATCTACTTAAGCAGCATCTGTGTTGATTATCTATAATGAGAGCAGGGAACCTTTATCAGCTCAAGGACTGCGTTCCTTCTTAGATAACCTTCTAAAGACCACATGTCAGTGACAGGGCCAGAGGCAAAATTGGGTAGATCAATGTGCTTCTTATTTTTTGTACAGTAGGCAACATTCGACCCATACAACATGCTGTTCATGCAAAAGTAAGAGCTTTCTACATCAGCGCCCCAACACATCTCTCTCCATCCATGCAAGGAAGAGGACACATTCCAGCCAGGCAAAGCATCTTCAAAACATTTAGAAACCCCTGGATTCTAAAGTTTAGAAGAACATCATTGCTTCAATCTCTGGCTTGTCTACTGCTATAGGACTTCTAATGTGCTTATGGTGGTCCCCTTCCTGCAAGAGTATCCCCATTCATTTCAGTGAAGGAACCTGATCCGCCTGCTTAATGGAACGCTTCTGAGGATTAGTCCCTTTCATTCAAATGAATGAAGAAACCTCAAAAAGAAGAAGCTAGTGGTCATCATGGCTAGTAGCCATTGATAGCCTTATCCGCTAGGAATGTGTCCATTTTTTTAAAGGCATCCAAGTTGGTGGCCATCGCCACCTCCTATAGGAGTGAGTTCCTTAGTCCAGCTTTGCTCTGCATGAAGAACTTCCTTTTATCTGTCCTGAATCTTCTTACCCTCTGGATGTCCATGAGTTCTGCACCTCTTTTCATATATAGTGGTGAGCTTCAAAGCTTTGCCAACATAACCCCACACCAAAATGGACAGGTCCTGTATTGAAGAGTGAATTCAGAATCTGAAACCAAGTGGCTTTAATTTCAGGCAGATGTGGTATTAACCAAGGCATACTCTAGATGCTGTTCCACTGCTTGTTAGCATTTTGTGTGCATGAGCATACCGTAAGCACTTCTGAGAGCTACATGCAACATGTTCAAATATGGAATCATTGGATGTAGCTGAACACAGAGGAAGTAGCAATGTCTTCCATTTCTGTAAACAAAGACCTCATTGCTCTGCAATTTAGAGATTCATTGTTATTGGTGGAAGGGAAAATTAGCCACAACAATTAGCCCACATACAATTTGAACATTTTTGTATGTGCATTATCCACTTTCTGCTCATTTTCTGTTTGCTCTTACTTGAGGGATATCATTGGATAAAACAACTATCTCTCTGGAAGTTCCAAAATTCACTTTAGAGGAATATGCTTATTAGGCCAACTGAAGGTGATGTTTGGCCTTCTCCAAAACACTGTTTTTCTGCACGCTGATTTTGAACTTTTTCCATTGCCTAATAAAGATATTGCCCTAATGTGGATTTTTGGGATTTTACTTAAAAGCTAATTGGGTTGTCATAGTTATAGAGCATGCATATATTTTACTTCCAATATGAATGACAGTTGCTGGGATCTCAGCACCCATCACCACCACTGTGGTTGTTGTACAAAAAAACTTAATGCCATAGGTAGGTGGTAGAAGCCAATAGGCTCTGTCCAATAGTAACTGTAATAGTGGCTGGAGAAACCCAGCCAGATGGGTGGGATATAAATAATAATAATAATAATAATAATAATAATAATAATAATAATAATCACAGTTACTATTGGATGGAGCCTATTGGCTTCTACCACCTCCCCACGGCATTAAGATTTTTTTAAAAAAAATAGGGGGAGTGCTGTTTAATTTGTTGCTTTATTGACTTTTCTTTAGAGAAAGTAAAGAAGAGAACTTCCCCTCTCTCTTTACAAACTTTTATAATTACAATTACCCTCCATTTCTTATCAGTACTTTCCATAATGAATATTTTTATCACACCCACACCGTACACTTAGAGCAAATATAAAGCATATGGATTCCCTCAATGAATCCTGGGAACTATATTTTACAATTCCTGGGATTTTTTTTTACCATTCCTGGGATTCCTTGGAGGAAGCTATGTCCTTTAACTGTGTAGCATGGACTCTCCTTGGGTGCTCACGTAGCCCTTTACATGAAAAAAGGAGCAAAATACTCAGGGATGGTTCCCCGGCATTTTGGGAAATGTCCATTAGATTTTGGAAAATACATGTTCTTCACTGCTTTCATTGTGATGCCCTCATTCACACTTGCTGAAAAATAAGAAACATGGTGCTGCTGAAGGGTGGATGGATGAGTTGGTAGGTGGCAAAGAGGCTGCAAGGAGGCATTCTATGGGTGCCTGTAGTGGCTGTCAAAACGGACAGCTGCTACAGTTCACCTGGAAGCTTCTTTCCATATGAAGCCTTGCCCACAGGTTGCTCTGTGAACTGATCCTGAACAATCCATGGCTTAATAGGTCTTGTAAGGCAGAAATATGCAAAGTAAAATAAACCCTGTATTCCTGATTTGAAGAAATCATTTTCCAGGACAGCTAACTCCTAGGAGTAATGTTAACTGGAACCAGGGTGTACAGTTGCTATTTAACACCCATTTGTATATTTACACCAAGCGTACCTGGCATTCAGCTTCAAAGCCTGAGGTCGCCTTCCCTGTGACAGCCTATTCACATACACGTGGCTAATCTAAGGTTACCAGATTTCCCCCCCAATGAATCCGGGGACACTTTTCAACTTCAATGGATTTTGTGTGGGGACTGATTTGTAAATCCGGGGACTGTCCCTTGGAAACGGGGACGTCTGGTAACCTAGGCTAATCTGCATGCTTGCAAGTAATTAGAATTGCGGAGAAAGACAATACCAGCAGCTGTCAGGCACTTTGGGTTACATTCCCAGCATATTTAAAGCATTCAGATACCACAGGGATGAGTACATTATTAATGCTAGGAGTGCGGCGTTTTAAAGTTGGCATCATGATCCTAGAAGGATATGTGGGGCAGCTGCATTTTAATAACATTCTCGGGGGCACTAAATAGCTCCCTGAGCACGCCTGTCATTCACATTGCTACTTTGATTTAGAGAACAAAACAATGAAGGTTCAATATTATATTAGAAGCAACAAAAGCACACCCCGGCTTTGTAAAGTGGAGTTGCTGACAGGAAGAGGAAAGGAGGGGGAGAGAGGAGATGCAGCAGTAACGGTCCATGAGTTTGTTTCAGAAAACGGAGACACATCACAAAACACCCTTTTTTAAAAAGAAAAAGAAAAAAGAGGGACATGGTTGTGTGTGTGTGTGTGTTTGTGTGTCAATCTGTGTACACAAAGGGAAAGGGTGCAAAATGAAAGCCAGTTTCTCTTCCAAGCATCCCCCCCTTTTTTTTTGGTGGGGCGGAGGCAGATCTAAATGTTGGGAAATTCTGATATCCATTAACCACACATGCCTGAGCATCCCCATGTTGCAGTTTTGTTTCTCTGAACAAAGCCTGCCTCTCTGGTGGTCCATGGATCTGCTAAAAACAAGAAGAGAATCCCAGTGATAATATTTCACCTTTTCAAACATATGCACACAAATACTCACCAAGCGGAGAGGCAAGCTGTTTGCCTGTCACCCTGACATTTTTGTCCGTATCTGTGGTTGTCACTGACTCCACTCTGTCTGGAGAAGGTAAGCTGAAACAGTTGATACCCCTCACTGTGAAAAAAGACACACACACATGAAATGGTGGTCTCATTTGACTCCAGAATTGCAGCCATTTTCTTAATCTCAGCCAGCTGGAGAGATCCTGAGGGACACAACAGGTGGGTAATACGGCAGTGTCTTCTCCCTCCAAAATACAAAGAGCACACAGACACCCCACCCCCTGTTAAAATTGGTCACTGCCATCTTGTCATTCCTGGCTTAACCAAGGGCACCATTTAGGGCAGGAGGAAATCAGTCTTCAGCCCTGGCATATGACAAACCATTTGGGATTATGGCTCAAAGAACTTTATTTCTGCCAAAAAATTTACTCGCTATTGCTATAAACAATGAAATGTTTCTATCTATTAGGGCCAAGTAATTAGCCATTCATACCAAAAATATTTAAATGTGACCATTTGACTTTTTCTGTTAACATGGTTATAGTTATACAATTTTCTCTCTCTGCTTTTGTACACTATCATTTGGAATAAATTCAACTGCAAGTCTGGCTGACTTTTACTCTCCTTATCTCCCCACCTTACCCCTGGCAAAATTTCTTTCTCGCTATCTCCCACCACTGACTCCTGAAACGGGGTGGAAGAGAAAATATCTAGCCTTGGCATTCAAGCCAGTTTTTAGAGGCTAGAACATGGGTACAAAGTCTTTTTCTTCTTCTAGTTCAGCACATGCAGTATTGATAAGGTTTGTCCACTTCTGACAGCATAGCAACATGGTCTGCTTTGATAGCGATCAAGCTGGTCTCTTTCTTTTATTGCTATCAGGAGCAAAAAGCCACATGCAGAGCCACTTGGGGAGGGCAAGAATTGGCAAATGGCCACATAGAAAACTATATTTCATGCTTTTCAGCTGACAGTGGACCCTAACAGAGTGGAAACCACCCCCCAAAAAAGAAACCTGCCTCTCTTGGCTACTGACTGGAATTTGGAAGTCAGGCAGTATGGGCCAAATTGTTTGAGGATGGTCATGTGTCTTGCTTGAAGATGGTCATGTGATCCTCTAATCTGAAGGGCTGTCAGAAGGTAGGCCTCTCTCTGAATGTGTCCTCTATTTGAAAGTTTGTCAGGTCCAAGTCCAGTTTAAAAGATAAAGAGTCATAAAAACTTGCCCATGAAAAGCACCAGACAGCAGACTGAACCTGCACACAAGTCAACTGAACACATTCTTCCCCACTATGGTGACATGTGAGAGGTACTTCTAGTTAAATGACAGAAGATGCTTCTACACTTGCATATATGTGTGTGGATATGTCAATTTAATGCAAACAAAAGTCCTCTTTTGTTCTCTTTTTTTGTGCTGCATTTCTTCTTCTTAGGCACTGTGCAAGTGTCCACCCTAGATTGTTAATGGACAGCTCCTTCACTCTGTTTGCTGA